CTGTCAGCTTTAAAATAAAGACAGTAAGAGTGATTGTTATACAAAGTATCAGTAGAACCGATCACAGAACTGGTTAAAAAACAGAATGTAAGGGAGTAATGGCAAATAGCTAGGATGGATGGTTGGGTTAGTGGGCGAGTGGGTGGTGAGATTATGGGTGGGTAGATGAGTGGATGGGTAAAGGATGGCTTTATTAGTGGATGAATGGAATTGCTAATATATAGAATCGGGTAAAAACAGGGGTCTCGTGAAAAGATGCTTCTCTCTTACTGTCAGCTATCAAACAGAGACAGTAAGGATGCTTGTTATACAAAGTAATCAGTCGAGCCCAAGCGTAAAACTGGTTAATAACCAGAATGTAAATGAACGATGGAGGGATAGATGGGAAAACGGCCTGTGGGGATGGTGGAGTGAATGGATGAGTCTGTCGTGGGATAGATGGGAGGGTAGATGAGTGGATAGAATGATGAATGACTGTATTTGTGGATGAATGGATTGGTAGATGGATGGATAGATCGACCAAATATAGAATGAGGTAAAAACAGGAGTCTAGTACTTTTTATCGGATGTTTTCATTGTACCTAGGTACTTTAATTTATGTTCTTGTCCTAAAATAACGCCTTTAAAGTTTTTAATGCATTTTGGCCACTATTGTTTTCAGTTATGTTTACGTTATTTCCAACTGAGTTTCCTTTTACACCTTTCTATCATCACGGTAACTATCCAATCATGTAGTTCTATCTCGCCTGTCGCTATCAAGATATTGTCATTAGGCCTGATGGCGACTCTCAAATTAGTAAATCAGTAAACAGGAACTGACACACTTGTTGCCCGTCTGTCAGGTCGCAATCTTGCTTTGAGGCAGCTTGTGGTCCAGTCAAGTAACTATTCGGAAAAGTCAATAGATACGGCCCACAATCGATGGTTTTTCCCGGCAGAACTGGCCGTGGATGGTAACAGCAACCAGAACTTGATCCGAGGGGGCAGCTGCTCGCAGACTTCGGACGACAGAACAGCCATCGCTAAAGAAAAAGCCTACTGGTCACTGACACTGAGTTCACCTGCGATTGTTAACCGATACGTCATCTATGTCAGGCATGACGGTATGTGTGCGACATATGTCTTTCGTCAGGATATATGTATATATGTATGTGTGTGTGAACATATACCCTGAAAAATGTATGCATATGTATATATAGCTATTTACGTATGGAAAAAATGAATTAAACAATGTATATATTTAGGCTATCCTCCAAATAACGGACACAAAAGATGGCGGCCAATGCTGGCAAAAAACAGGGCCCCAGTCACATGTCAGTTGCGCACTTCCGGCGACCTAATTTGCGGTTTTTCGGCAACTACTGCCACAAGTGTCACCCACGCGGCGTTGATTTTGGCTAAACTAGATGGCTATGACTCACGAGCAAAGCTGCAGGAGATGCGGAAGCTGCTGCTCGTTAGTCCCAGCCATCTTGTTTAGACCAATCCACACCGCGTGAGCGGGGTGCGGGACTTAGCGGTGGCGGTAGTCGCGAAAAACCTCAAATTAGGTCGCCGGAAGTGCGCAATTGACACGTGACTGAGGCTCTGTTAGGATGTTTTTGCGGCCGCCATCTTTTGTGCCTGTTATTCGGAGGAAAGCCTATATTTATAATTTATTTTTAACAATGTATATATATATATATATATATATATATATATAGATATGTATATATATATATATATATATATATATATATATATATATATATATATATATATATATATATATATATATATATATATATATATATTCTTCACTTCCTTTTTTACATTTCCACAGCTTCGGATCTCGAGGAAGGTATAAAGTTATGTTTCTTGCTTTTCTGACCGCCTCGACCATATGCACATCCTACTGTTGTAGAGTTTCTCTGACGTTATCTGTCGATATTGTTCTTGGTCTACCTCGTGGTCTACGGCCTTATGGTCTTTTCATGAATACATGATATGGTTCATTGTCACAAGGTTTTCTCTCGAAGCGGGCAAACCATTCGATCTCATGTCTCCTTCGGTAATATAGAACAAGTTATGTGCCTGCTTATTCTTTCTTCTGATCCTTTCTTAATCCCTTCTCAGACATGGCATGTTTATGATTACTAATGGTTTTTTTTTCTTTCTGATCTGTTGTAAAAACGTCAGGTACTGGTAGCATGCGGTTAGAATGGCAATGTTTTGCATGACATGTTTCTCAGTCATGACTCACACACACACACACACACACACACACACACACACACACACACACACACACACACATACCATAACCATTTACGCCTTAAGGTCATGCGCATGTATCGGTGGAAGCATTAGCATATAGAACCCAACATCTGTCTCTGTCTTTCGCTTGATGAATAAATTTTTTGATAACGAAGAAAGAATCATTATTTGATGTTATCATTTCATATTTTTCTTTGCCCTCATCTTCTTCGACTACCCTCCAATGAACGCTGCGAAAGCGAACACACGACGCTTAGTGCAAAAATGCTCGCTTATGGTACTGTATCTAGTTTAAGAAAGGCAGCTTTATTCTGGCTTGAGACCTTAATCGCCATGCAGGTCATGATTTCACCGACTGAAGGAAATAAAAAAGCGTGATGGAAAATTTGGAGACATGTTTGCTCCGTACAGAGTGGCAAGTAGCGCGTAGTCTTCTTCGATGAATCTTCTCTTGGTCATGCATTTGTGTTGGGCAATTAACGGCAAGCTGTTTCTCTGTTTCTGTACCAGTTGGAGCGGGATCTATGCATAGCAAGCTATGTGATATAGATCCATGCCTTTTGGAAGACAGTGGAGAATTTGGAAGCTTGAATGGATCATGGTCTTAAAATAATTGTACAGCTAGGAGGGACGAGATTCCATACTCAAAGGAAAGGCAGGACGGACTACTGTAGGACGTTTGTAGTGCAAGGAGAATTGGAATTCTTCGCTGGCTGCTGACTATGAAGTTGTGCTAATAATATTACCCCGAGTGCTGTGATGTCAGTAAGAAGAACACAGGGAAGCCCAGCAGGGGTCCACCGATTATCAGTACACACATCCCTCGTCGACCATTGTTTCGGCTTTAACTTCCTATACAATCTCGGAAGGTGGGCCGACCTGGTTCACAACGCCAGGCCTGGTTATCGCCCTGCCGCACTTCATTGGACTTTCAGACAGGGCCAGGACGAAATGGTGACTTTGCAACAGTTATCATGAGATTTGATGTTATATATACTGTCGCTGCGGTAGCACGTCTCCCGCATACCCTCACGACCAGAGTGACAAGCTTACGGTTAGTTCATCGGACAGGTGTTAGACTTTGGCAGTTGGCAAAGAGACACTAGCAGACATTTGTCGGACACTTTAGCTATATGGAATGAAAGGATTTTTTTTTTTACAATACAAGCTCGGGGCAGTGAAGATAAGTCCTGCTGCGCCTACCTCGACAATGAAGATTTTTACTATGTACGTTTTATCTCTCCTCTGACCGGCCACCAGCTCACCGTACTTTTCGATGTCAATATTTAGCTCAATACACAACAACACGCTCTACTGAACCTAACTCCACAGGATATCAACTACCTCAACGGGAAAAAGATAAGTTATGATCTAGTTACAAGGAAAATAACTTATCAAAAACAATCTTGAATACTAAGAGCGACTTAACACCGCGCTTGAAAATACATAGATCCCTACATCTCATCGAGTGTTTCATTTTTGTCACCAACATTTTGCAGACACAACTTGGGTAAGAGAAGAGGAAGAAGATAACTAGCAGTGAAAGAGAGAAAGTGTGAGAGAGAGAGAGAGAGAGAGAGAGAGAGAGAGAGAGAGAGAGAGAGAGAGAGAGAGAGAGAGAGAGAGATGGATGGATTGACAGACAGAGACAGACCGAGCTATACGTACTCTGTGAGATGGCTGCCCCAGTATCACACAGTACACTAAGACATTTATTTCTTCAACAGGGAGGCAACTACAAAGCGCTATGCGAGGGTTTAAGCTGGAGAGCTTCAGTGAAGCTGGCGATGTGGTCTTCAGCTACCTGGATCAACATACGACGGTCCAAAGTGTCTACAATATATCGCATACGCACCTGGTTGTTTCTATGGTCGTAATTACCACCACCAGTCTGGAGAACGTCTTGCATATCTGTGAATTTGAAATGTACGGAGGTAAGGATGTAATGTGGTGTGTGTGTTAGGGTTCCCGCTTGCGATATGATGGTTTGAAAATACGCTGTATTTATGTGGTTATACTGTGTAATCAGTAAATACATGCGTGTATATAGATATATGGCGATGAGTGGTCTTTTGGTATGTCACCATCCTCGAGTGCTGGAGGTCCCGGTTTCAAACCCCGGTGAAGGCTGGATTATTTTCGCGTGGACTCCAGAGTAATCTTCACTGGTCAGCGAATAGTGAGACCGGACGACTGTATGTATTTTTGTGCACGTAGAAAATACCTTGGCAGATGGAAATCGAAACAGGATAGCCAAACGGCACTGCCCGAAAAAAATTGAAGTTAAGAATCTACCTAAAGTATTTCAGGTCGTCGCTGCTACGGAGTCGTGCACTGCGCTGAGATTCTTTAGACTAATCTTCAGTTAAAAGTAGATTAGATCATTTGGGAGTTTGACTCGTGCTCCGTGATGTTGTTCTGTTGAATAAACATAAATATGTATGTGTGTGTGTATATACATATATACATATATATATATATATTGTTATACGCTCGTGTTAGCAAAAGAAAGTTTTATTCTTATGTCCTCTACCCTATCGTGGTCTCCACCGCTGACGTTCATGTAAAAGACACTCCACGGAGGAGCGAGCATAGCATGAACATTCTTTACGTTTCTCTTCGACGACCCTCTTATCCTCATCCCGTCAGTGTTTTAATTCAGTTAGTGTTTGATTATTCTCAGATCGTCTCTTATCTGTCAGTGTCCTATTTCAGTTAGTCTCTGGTGAGTCTCTGTTCGTCTCTTTTCAGTCAATGTCCTTTTCCAGTTCATGTTTGTTGATTCTTTGTTCAACACGTCCCTGTCAGTGTCCTGTTTCGTTTAATTTTTGGTGATTCTCTGTTTGTCTCTTCTCTGTCAGTAGCCAATTTCAGTTAATGTTTGACGATTTTCTCTTCGTCTCTTTCCAGTCAGTGTCTTTTTTTTTAGTTCACATTTGTTGATTATCTACTGATTCTTTTACATTACTTCCGAGGACTGTGCCTCTAACATTCTCAACTTTGGCGCGACATGGAAGCCAAGGTTATATTTGAACCCAAGCCACGACCGTGTGACTGTAAGCTATAACAGCTACACCATGACAAGAGCTATAAAAATATAGCTCTTTAACTCTTCGAGTCCCAAGGAAAGCATCACACGTTCATAGCTTCCTATCTAGAAGCCTGGTGAACACAAGATGAGCGGATTTTACGTCTCTCTTGACTACCCCGTGGGCCTCTGATGCTAAATCCCCTGAGATTCAAAGAGATAAATAGAAAGTTTGTGTCTTATATAAATACAACCCTGAGATAATATACCAGTAATAAACTCCCCCCCCCCCCCCACCCCCAAAAAAAAGGAAAAATGTCGAGGTTTAGGATGGAAAAAAGGGGTGGGGTAGAATTTTTAATAAGTCTCAAAAGGTCCTTGCAGATTATAAGTATTCAATCTGTGTCTTATTTAGTGTATATTTAAATCTGACACTGACGGTACTTCGAGAAGATATATTTATTGCGAGCTAGATATAGCAAATATGATTTCACAAACAAAATCTCCGCCAACTGTGATTGAAGATTCCTTGTGTCCGACCGGACAGTATGGGCGAGAGTGTGAGCATAAGTGCAATTGTCTGGAGAGTGACCACTGTCTAGTGAGCACCGGGAGATGCACTGCCGAGTGCGCTGCTGGATACAAGGGCAACGACTGTAATACAAGTGAGTGTCTCGTTTTCTTCTTCGTCTTCTCTGCTCATCTTGTTTCTTTCGGCGTCATGTTTTGAAGAGCCATGGGTGAGAACAATGGTATGTGCTTCGTAGATACGTGTATTTACGGCTTTGGAAATTCCATCTATGTATCGCTTGCGGTGTCGACCCTTTTAATATTCCATCTATCTCTCGCTTGCGGTGTCGACTCCTGGCTCTGCTTCCATTTTTTTTTTTTTTGGGAGCTGATTTAGTTGAGTCAAGAATTGATTCAAGTAGAAACAGTCTACATAAACAGAAACGTGAAGAAATCATCAACACTAAGAAATTAGAGGAAGAGAATATCAAACATGAATTTGAACTGGAAATAACAAAGGCTTTTGCAGATATTGCCAAGGAACCAGTAAGAATTGAAGAAGAATGGGATTATTATAAATCAACCATCACGAAGATATTAAAAGACAAGTGTGGTACCAGAAAGACGGGCAAAGGCAAGAAAAAGGGTACCGCTTGGTGGAATGAAGAAGTCAAAGAAGCAGTGTCAAATAAAAAGAAGATGTTTCAAATATGGTTAAAAACAAAAGACGAAAAGGATTACATTAGGTACAGACTAACTCGAAGAGACACCAAGAGAACAATAAAGAAATCCAAAGAGGAATCATGGAAAAAGTATGGTGAACACCTAACACAGCTATGTACAGAATCATCAAGAGACTTTTATAAGAGTGTGAAAGCGATGCGATTAAGAGAAGAAAGCTTCAATCCAACATCAGTCATAAACGATAAAAATGGAAAACCATTATTCAGCCAAAAAGAAATTAAAAAAAGATGGGAGGAATATTTTAAAGAACTTTTGAACCCGTCGGGAGTACATGAAACAGCAGAATTCCATTCAAGGGCTCCAGATCATCTAGAACCACATATCCTGCGGGATGAAGTAGAGAAAGTTATCAAAACAAGTAAAAGACACAAAGCAGCTGGTATCGACGGAATAACAACAGAAGTCATCCAGGCTGGAGGGGACACTATGATCACCTGGCTGGAGAGAATTTTCAATAGAGCATGGGCAGAGAGAAAGGTACCAGTGGATTGGCAAAGATCAGTTGTAGTACCTATCTGGAAGAAAAAAGGAAACAAGAGAGAATGTGGAACTTATAGAGGAATATCTTTACTAAGTCATGTGGGGAAAATGTATGCAAAGATCTTAGAAGGTAGGACAAGAGCAAAGGTTGAACCTCTACTGAGTAAAGCACAATTCGGTTTCAGGAAAGGGCGAGGTTGCACTGATGCCATATTTGCACTAAGACAAGTCTGTGAAAAGACACTCGAATACGATAAAGAGCTGAACGTGGTCTTTGTAGATCAAGAGAAGGCATTCGACCGTGTAGACAGAGATGTGCTGTGGAGAATTCTTGACGATTACGGAGTGCAGGGTCAATTATTAGACAACATCAGAGCCCTCTATGAAAAAAGTGAAAGTGCAGTAAGAACATCTAGTGGTCTTTCTGAATGGTTCAAAGTCACAACTGGTGTCAGACAAGGATGTGTACTGTCACCATTACTTTACATAACATACATGGATAAGATCACTGTAGAAGCAAACCCAGACGTGTATGCTATAAACGAATTACTTTTTGCTGATGATCAAAGCATACTGTATCAAAATGAATATGATCTACAGGAACATCTGACTACTCTCAACAACAGCTGTTTACAACATAATATGAGAATCAGTACAGAAAAAACAGAAGTTATGAAGATCAGCAGAACACACAGGCCACTGAATATAAATGTTGGAAGTGCCAAAATCAAGCAAACCAAAGAGTTCAAATACTTGGGCAGTATATTTACAGAGGATGGAAGAATGGACAGAGAGATAGAAACAAGAATACAGAAAGCAAATGCTGTCACATACCAACTATCACCTCTGCTTAAACATCCAGATATAACCATGAAGACCAAAAGACAATTGATAAACACCATCTTCATTCCAACACTCTGCTACCAGTGCCAGACATGGACAATCAACAAGACCCATGAAAGAAAAATAGAAGCCTGTGAAATGAAATGTCTAAGAAAAGCAGCGAATAAGACAAGACTAGACAGGATAAAGAATATAGACATTAGAAACACTGTCAAAACTACACCATGTTTAGACTACATAGAACATCAAAGAATGAAATGGTTTGGACATCTAACCAGGATGAAAAATGATCAAATAACATCACAAATTTTCAATCAAAGAAGCTCAGGATATAAGGCAAGAGGAAGACCAAGGAAACTGTGGATTGACGGGGTCTCCGAAACCTGCCAAAAGCATGGCCTCAGAACATCAGATGCTGCCCGCCTTGCTTATGACAGGAACTTGCATCTCCCCACAACGCTTAGCGGCATACGTGGAAGGAAAAAGTAAAAGTAAGTAAAGTAAGTAAGAATTGACATCACATCACTCGGAGCAATCCCATACGCGCGCTCTCCCCATCCACAGCAGCCAGCGCACAGTTCCAACACTAATGGTGCCAGTCGTAGTCTGGTTGTATGTCCGTTTTGCCTTTACTCTGTGCCGACTGAACCTTCTAGTCACAGCCAGGTGCACCATTTTCTCCCGCCCATAATAATCTAGTTTCTTTGCTGACTACGTTACTTGTTCTCATAGGGCTCTGACCAAATCTGCCTTGTCATGCATTGTCTGTTAAGTGTCTTTGTGTCAATTGTTTTTTCTTCAAAAGATTGCAGAAATATGAAATGAATATGAAAATCAGTTTGTGTTTCGATTACTTGTTTGGTTAGTGTTCTGCCTTGCCTTGTCAAAGTGTGTCACAATACACTTGATGCTTCGCCCCCAGTAATTTATGAGTTATGAGATATATTATCTTTATAGCACTCCGGACATATCCATGGGTGCTCAGATTCCCTTCTCCCATATGTTTCAGCTTCGTGCGGTTAATAGTTAAATTTCTACTTTGGTTAACAAGACTTCGTGTGCGTCCGGTATGCTTTTTATGCTTGTCTGTGCCGATCGTTACTCTTAATTCGCGTATTGTTATCAGTGATGTGGACGCGTTGCTTGCGAAATTCCCAGAACGCCCTCTCTAAGGGCAATAATATCTCTATGGGCCGGCTATCTTCATTAACCGGCCAGTCTTTCAGCTCTTTTATTATCAACAACGCCTCTATACCCTGGGACGAATATAAAGGTAACTGCTCGCACAGGAGAGTTTTGCAATGACTCAAACCATTGCCTGCGTAACCAGCCTGCCTCGACCCGCCAGATCATGTTCAAAGAGTCACTCAGCACACACAGGCGGAAATAGTCGTGTTATTCTAGCCACATTAAAGCTTGTGTCACGGCCATCACTTCCATCGTTATACTGCTGGTGATCATGGAGAAGGCACCACTGGCTTCTTGACTTTTCTGCCTGAAGAGCGAGCTGTAAATGCCCATGCACTCTTAGGTCCTCGTATAACGGACCCGTCTGTGAAGATCACGCTCTCAGTAAGTAAAAGTAAGGCACCCTTTTCAAGCCTTCAGATGTATCGGACAATTAGGACTAGAGCGATAATTTGTACACCAATGGGCATTTGGTCGGTGAAGTGGTCAACATCGCAGTGCCCACCAATACTTTCCTGCTACCAATTTAAGGCTGGCTCGACCTGTGGCAGTATAAAAGTAGAAAGTTGCAGTTCTATCACACTAGTATGTATAATCCATTTTCGTCCTTTTGAGGATGAAATTTTTTGTCAGGGGCCGCAATATAGGCAGGCCATAAATATGGCGAATTGTCTGAACGCGGTTTCTGGGACCTCTCCACGGCGAGGTGGCACTTTGTGTCATCGGGTGTTTATCGCTTGTGTGATGTCCTGGTGGGGTAGAAAGTCAGTCAGTCAGTCAGTTCTATCACCCTCTCCTACGAAATACGCCAGGTTAAATTAAAGGGAGATAAAACAAACTGAAAACACCAAGTAAGAAGAGGAAAGACATGCACAAGTAGCAACAGGGTGTAGGACGAGCGGTCTGAATCGGAAGGAAGCACCAACCCCAGACATGGCTCAAACACTAGAATTTAGTCACGAAAGTGACGCAAATAACCCAGACAACAAATATAGGCGGAGACTGTTGGCAGCCTCGGACCTTTTCCATTTTTTTCTCAAAAGTAATTGGAATTGGAAGTTCTCTCACACTCCAGTGGCGCATCGGGCATGTGTGGTTATCCTCATTTATCTATAGGCCAATCATTGGGCGGTGTGGTCATCATTATGCCTGCCACCTTTACTTCACAGGACTTTACCTGGTACCTATTTAAGGCTGGGTCCACCTAGGAGCGTCGGCTCTGTGGCTACGTCTATGCGAACGCTTCGTAATGCCGGGATGGCGGTTTCGATTCCAGCTGTGAACCCTGTGCTTTGCGTTGGTTTCGACAGTTGTATCAAGAAAACGGACCGCCCAGAAGCAATGGCAAACTACTGGACGTAAATTTGCCTAGGAAAACCACACAACAGCTAGCGCTAGCGGCTATTGGGGTTGGTTCTGCAAAATCCTGTAAAAGGATTCGCAACTAGCCTGAGATATACCGCAAGCTCTAAATAACAGGTTACGATATTAACATTATATATTGATAAAATTTGACATCCTTTAATCATTAACATCATCACAGTCTCATAACATCTCGTCTCTATGGGTCGCTACTTGTTTTGTCTGTCTAGTGGGTTTCCTCCACCTTGTCAGTCAGATGTAACGGACAACACGTTTGCATGTTTGAGGCGTGTACACTCAGCAGAATTTCATATGCAGGTTTCTCTTGGCTGCCTCTTGACCCCTTTTCCTTGTCTGAACCCTGAATTGTTGTCTTAGAGAGCCTTTCAGATCTCATAACATATCCTTCAAATTGCATTTTCCTTCTGTTCACTATTTTTAAAATGCGTTCATAGTTGTCAGTATGTTAGGTAATGATAAGATTGTCTTCATCATGTGTGTTTGTGTGTTTTACCTGCGACCTTCTAAGAGTTTTAAT